CTCTCTCTGCGCTAGGAGTGTTTGGGTTCGCGTCATAGCTGGGGATTCGTGCGCTCGTTCTCCGGTCGCGTATAGCCGTTGATCGTACCCGATTCCGATACACATCAGATGTGCAGAACAGCTTCTTGCATCTGGCTTACAGAGAAAATGAGGTGTCCAAAGGCAACATCTCTGGACGGTTGGACATCAGCTGTTACGACCTTTGGATGTCTAGCTGTCATGGCGCCCGAAGAAAACACTAGAGCTGAGGTACTCTCAGGTAGCCCAAACCTAGACAGGAACAGTCGAGAGACCGGGGTTAGGATAGGACCACAGACCTTCCGGTCAGTAAGCTCGCACCTCAATGACTGAACTATCTCAAGCTCATGGTTTATTTGTATTTTTTCACGCTGTCAGCAACCGTGAACTCAGTCGTTTAGCAAATTTATGTCGGATTTCAGTCTTCCTTTTCAAATAGCTTCCCCGGCGTTTCGGGGGGGGGGAGGTATTTCAGTCGCGTCCTAGACACAATGAGACTAGGTGTTCCACAAATGTGACTTCTTTTGTGTTCTCTCTCCCTCTCGATGGTAAACGCCTGCTGACTAAGTGTGTACGTGAATACAAGTCATTCGTTGGAGCATAACAGGGACAGTGAAGTGTTACTTCGACGTGAAGCCCATGAAAAATCTTCATGCCAGGAGCTGCCAGGTGACGTAGTACGTTTAGGCGTGATCAGCAATGTGATTAACTTGCACTTAGATAGGTTATAGCGCTAATCATCATCAGGGGGCGAGATGGCTCAAGTGGTTAGATCGCGAATTTACTGACCGGAAGGTCTGTGGTTCGAGCCCGACCTCTGCCTCTCGGCTTCCTCTGTCTAGGCTTGGGCAACCTGGCAGTATCCCAGCCCTCGTGCTTCCTTCGCGTGGCATGGCAGCTAGGCACCGAAAGGGTGTTACAGCTGACTGGTTATCTAATAATCTTTCAACCACCGAATCCACATCACGTGGTTACGTGTTAACTGGCTGACCCCTCGAGAGGCGACCTTTCAGATAAGAGCCTCGCTCATCCTGTTGATTTCTGCCTCTTCTGAGCCTATCATACATAGATTGCCAGAGTAGTGTACACATATTTCATCCAGTAAGTGGGTTCATCTCTATGCTGAAGAGGCAAGAATCACCGTACGCTGTCGCCTATCATACATAGATTGCCAGAGTAGTGTACACATATTTCATCCAGTAAGTGGGTTCATCTCTATGCTGAAGAGGCAAGAATCACCGTACAGCTGTCTCATCCTTATTGGCAATCATCAGCAGTGCGCACTTTATTGTGCTTCTTGCATGCCTAGGATTGTTAAATCGGAAAGCTGGCCTTCTTCCGTAAGACAGTGATTGGTGAAAGTAGTTATTTAAAAGTGGGAAACTTACTTGGAGCAGATGAACTGCATTCACGTTGGGCGCTGGTATACGGTCTGTAAAATCTGATCTAGGCACAGCAGGAACTGGACCGGGGTGGTGTGCGCTGCCGGGTGACGTTGGACTGGCTGATACAATGATCATTGGGCTTCTGTGCCGAGGCGAGGCACTGTCTTTTGAACGAGTCGCCTGACGACGCCTACGTTGTTTGATAGATGAACGAGAGGGTTTGGTGGAAATCGCTATGCGGCGGGAACGGCCTACTGGGTTGTTCGGATTGGCTTTGATAGCGCGTAACCGTGACCTCCATAATTCACGTTTTACGTTCTCCTTTTTCAACACCAGTTGCCTCTGGCGTTCCAAAGCCTGTCGGTCAACCTGCGTTGCATCGTCCACAACTAGTGGGGCTTGATCGAGCCCCAAATCTCGAACACATCTGCAAATATAGGGTGGAGGTGAGGGGAGGTGAAAAATGGACACCTGAATCAATTCTGAAATGGGGTAAAATGAGACCAGAATAACTCATCGCTTGTGCCCACTTCGCATGGGGTGTGATCTAGAAGGCGATGAGATGGCTAAGTGGTTAGAGCGCGAATTTGCTGACGGAAGGTCCGTGGATCGAACCCGACTTGTGCATCTCGACTACTCCTGTTTAGGCTTGGGTAACCTGGCCGTACCTCAGCTCTCCTGCTTCCTTCGGGTGGCATAATAGCTGAACGGTATATAGAAGCCAACAAAAATCGTGAACTAGGGGAGAGAAGTTTTAAAATCCCAGGTTTTGGCTTCGGCAGCCTTGTTGATGAGGAATATATGGCAGACGCCTGAGAAGGGGAAATGAATCACGTTGTAGAATACGTGACCTATTCTTGAAAGACCAATTGGGTGACGCGCGAAATCACAAGCCAACAATTACGAAATCTTGAGATCTATCAACAAAATTCGGTACTACACGTGCAAAGTGAATATATGAAAAGGACAAACCTCAACTTGTGGGGATTTCCGTCTAATTGTTACACGAATAGGTGCAAGTCCAAAAAAAGCCCGACAAGAAGGGCAAATCGACGTGAATTACCGACAAACGTGCGCGCACACCACGTGGTAACGCAGATCAAAAAAAGCGCGTGAAAGGTTCCTCAGAATTGGTTCGACGTGTTAAGGGTCAAAAGTTTATGAGGGATCGTGGATGAATACTGCAAATACATGAGGTGGGCGCGGAAGGGTTTGACCGAGAGAAAGGAGGTACACACGTGTTCGAAGATGCAGCACGGAAGGAAATGTTTTCGACCCTCCGATATCAAGACGGTGGTTGATAGGTCTACATAAGCGAGTTTTCGTAAACGCGGCAAGAGCTACACTGTGCTTAGGTAGCAAGAATCAGTCACTGATAGTACAGGAGTTAACGTATTTCCGAGCGGTTACCAATCTATTTCATGTAGGCATAGCTCGTGTCGGCCAGGGGACTCGTCGTCAGGCCTGAGTCCATCGACTCGCAATCTCTTGCTGAGACAATTTTTGAATTAACCACAGCAACCGGAAGTAACGAAACTGGTGACCCGGGTCCATATGGACCAGATTTATCGGACTAGCGACAAGGACGACCGCCCAACCTTGGTGTTGAAGGATCCCATCCTGATCCTTGGTANTTCGTTTGGGGCGTTAATAGACCTTGTGCACCTTTGGTGGTTGTTTTGACGTGAACACTAGCTTGGGAGGCTCAGACCGAGAACTAAGCTGACTAAAATACCGTTATTACACTTAGGTAGCAAGAATCAGTCACTGATAGTACAGGAGTTAACGTATTTCCGAGCGGTTACCAATCTATTTCATGTAGGCATTGCTCGTGTCGGCCAGGGAACTCGTGGTCAGACCTGAGTCCATCGACTCGCAATCTCTTACTGAGACAATTTTTGAATTAACCACCGCAATCGGAAGTAACGAAACTGGTGACCCGGGTCCATATGGACCAGATTCATCGGACTAGCGACAAGGACGACCGCCCAACCTTGGTGTTGAAGGATCCCATCCTGATCCTTGGTAATTTGGATACCTCAAACTACCTATAGTAGGATAGGTTTACTTTTCGCCATTATCCCTGGTCGTAACGATAATTCGAATTTGCTCCTTCAGTTGCTTGCCGAGGGGAAATTAAAATCACTGTAAGCGAACGAAATGCAGTGTGGGGGGGGGGGGTCGGTGGAAAAACTAACCTGTAATGATGTCCACGCGATTTCATGTGCTTGCTCAGGTTGCCCCGCGTTTTGAAGGATACTTCACAGTGTGGGCAAATGTAGGGACGCAGGTTTGAATGGGTCCGGTAGTGCTTTCGCAACAGACATGGCTTGTGACACACGAGGCCACATTCATAACAGCGATACCTGCTACGGCTGCCCAGTAGTCGGGAACTCAGAAGAGGGCGTTGTTGAGTGTAACTGGTCCGGTTCATAGGACTTGACGTAGACTGACTGGCCGGGAGTTGTGAAGGAAGAATCGATACCAAGCGAGTTGAAGCGCCCTCTGTCGGTTTGGTCATACTGTTCGGGGGCTGCATGTCTGGTGAATTTCTCAAGTTCGCTAAGGCTGTCGAGACATATACAGAATAGATGGGAATAGATGAGCGCAGATGTCGCAAAATTTTACAAAAAAGTGAAGACCGGTAGCGAGGCAGGATGCGTCTGTTCCAATACATACATAAAATAGTCTCTTATTGGGAAGAGAACCATGATCTTACCGCTACAGATAGCCCGGTTTTACTCATGAATCTTCAGGCGAACGTACCAGGTCATCGCGCGTATCATCCATTGCCTGACTACCTATTTTTTTTAACTCAAGACCACTTTTTGTCCAGGTTTACGACAGTTGCCGTTACTAACGCGAGTCTGACACAACGAATTAGAGGTGTTATGATTTGGGTGGGTGGACTGAACCCATGTTGCTTCAACGTCAAACCAACGTTAGGGTATTGGATGCCATAACACTCTTGAGGGAGATAGCACTGGGACAAGGTGTGAACTGCCAGTCAACTCGAGGAAACGAAAGTTGAAAGAGCGAAGGGTGTGAAAGACTCGAAAACGAGTCGGACAATCGACCGAATGGCTGAGAGAACTATTTGCATAAATTGGAGGAAACTATGGTAGAACGGATGCGAAATTAGCAAAGGAGAATGAAAAAAACTATGTCGACAAGCACCCCAGTTTGCACGTCAATTTGGTTTTCATAGGAAAATCGGCTGAATCTCTCGTTCATGATAAGCACCAAAAGGGAGCTACATCTGAATGAGTTTTAAAGACTGAGGGGGGACTCGGGAAATGCGCCTACCTGATGAGTCCCAAAAAGGGCGGAACCGATCGTGGGCTGTCGAAGGGATTTCGGCAACCTTCTGAGTAGTATCTTTTATGAAAAATAGAAAACCCTGCTCTTTTTCATCTCCATAATGTCATCAGTGACTAGACCTCCATCTCCTTAGTAGTATCCTTTATGAAAAATAGAAAACTCTGCTCTTTTTCATCTCTGTAATGTCATCAGTGACTAGACCTCCATCTCACAACCATGAGAATAGTATAAGAAAGAGACAAAAAGAAAAAAATTTTCTCCAAGGAATAGTGAGAAACATGCGTACCTGATTCGGAACCACTTCCTGGATTGCACGACAAGGCCGGGGCGGAACTCCTACCAGGTGACAGAACGGATAGCTCGCTAACCACGGACGACTGAGTTGAGGTTCCGATAGGCTGTGAAACAGGAATTCACTAAGAGGTTAGGGACACCGACATAGAAGTGACGATACTTGCTAACCACAGGGTCTGACAACCAATTCTCCATACATCTGTCCAGAGCGATTAGCGGCTCCGTTTTGCCTAATTAATTTTTAGACCACTGCGCTTATTTTGATCAGTAAAAGTACACATCATGTTTTTCATCACGTGCCATGCGCACGACCTTGGCCCAGATCAAGTCAACTTGTTTGCCACGTCGGACTCATCGATTTGTGGTGATTCAAAGTGTGCCCATTCACCACACAATGCTTTCAGCAGCTAAATCTTCACGAGTGGAGTAAAACTCCGTACGCCATAATGTTGCATTGTGTTGCGAATGTGCTCAAACCAAAAACCGTCCTAATCTACTTTCATATTTTTGCAGCCAACCAAATTTCATTGTTCAGTGGAGCAAATATGCATCTGGTTGAAAAGTATTGTGGGATAATTTTCCAGCATCTCTGAGACCCCGGGATGACTAAATGGGGCTCATAAGTTTGGACTGGTACTCTCAGTTCAGTGGTCCGATTGTTTTAGTCCATCAGGGTCACGTCATAACTTTCGAGAATTCAACTCCATTGTGCGAATACTGAGCGCCTTCAAAGAGAACAGACACAATCACTTTTAAACACAAGTCTGTATTGTGTACGGAACTTAGCTTGGGAAAAGTGGTGTGTATTGTTGCGTGCATGCGTGTGAGTGGCGTGTGGTGCCACCGTGAGGTCCCTTGTACCTGTTGAGTTCTGTTTTGTGTGTACACACTCGTGTGTCAGCCGCATCGAGTTGCAGATGTATGTGTTGGACATAAAACACCTAGGGAACTCACAGATGGACATTCCCATTCGACAGTTGTACAGAAACGGCTAGATTCGATGTGGGCATAGTGAAAGAGACATCGTTGATCAAGGATGTATTCACACCATTCTGTCCTTTCCGCATTCGACATGACCTGTCTGCTCCTAGGATGACTGACCTTGGGTTTTACACATGCTGACATCATCATCAGAGATATGACAACACAAAGAGGGCATAACTGGGGGAGGGGGGTTGCATTTGTACTTCAATCCGCGACCTACAGTAGTCAGATTCACTTGTCTGCAGGCTCATTAGAAAATGAGCACTTGGGAGGTGCGTATCAATTTTTATTTTGCGAAACATATTTAGATGAAAGCTTGCCTTCAGTGTTGTTCCCCATATGTTAGTAGCTCAGTAAATGAGGATTCTAACGTACGTACCAGTGTGTGTAGGCTTTTACTTGCTTCGGCCAACCGCTTCAAAGCGTTCTAGTGTGACAAACCTCTCCTAAGTGAAACAGAGCTCGCAGAAATATGTTGAACATGGCGACAGCGTCAGTGAGAAGATTGACATCCACACCGTAGAACCTTTTTAAGCAGCGCTTGTGGAATGGTGCTAACTGGACGGTTCACTATGGTGGTGGAGGGTGTGGAAGCCCTTAGAAGCCCCTCAAAACAGATCATTCACAGGCGGAGACCGATTGGACTGATCTTTTGTCACAGTGGCCGAATAGATTTACGAACTTTTTGTTCTGAAGCCCGAATCCGTCGACGGTTCCGGAGAGAGAACTCAAGAGCAGATCATGGTCGTCTCTTCTGAGGGTCAGCAGGTCCTAACAATGACCTTTTCAGAAGAAAGAAGAGTCTTATGAGGCCACAGTACACCGAGTACAGCTGCATGTATGTAGTAGTGACTCTTAATACCCAAGTTGATAGTATGCAATTGAACAGTGAATTCCTGCAGTCGTGGTACAAAGGGGATGGAGTTGGTGGTCGAGGTGCTCCCTAAACGGCATAGGGCTGTCGACGCTACAAGTAGGATTGGCCACATACAAACAACAACCACTCATGCTCGAAGGTCATCCTGACTTGGAGAACCGCAGCCCAACAGCTGGACGCTCCGCTCCAACACACACCACACTGATGATGATGTCACTCTGAGTAGGGTGACAGTCAGGTTTGTAACAAATTGGTCGTGCTCAGCGGGCAACCCGACCATCGTGTTTTGGTGGGGCTGATACACGAAAATGGTAGAATATACGTACGTACACAGTGGCCTGGGGTGTGATCACACAGGAGATCAAAAAACGATTTGAATGACTGGAAAAAGATAATGACTACCTCAGCAGGCGTCTGCAAGTTTACCAACGGGGGCTCCTTCGGTAGGATGGCAATCATGTTGCGTTCGGCAGGTCGACTGATCGGTGGGGTAGATCTGATGTTACTGGATGTGGCTGTTTGGGAAGGCTCACGAAGCGCTGTTGGAATCGGTGTGACGAGGGCATCTGTGACAGTGGAATTGACCGCACACGGAACACGCACAGCTGGATCCGATTGGACCAAGAAACACGAGGTGACCATCGACTGGCTCGCTGCCACGGGAATGTAGGGACTGATGATACGTGGTAGGAACATTAGTGGAGGTAGAATCACAACGTTTGGAGAACTGGGCAACGAACAGCTGTACTGGACAGGGTTTGGGTGGGCCAGCGAGGACACTGTGAAGTTTTGTGGTAATGGAGGGTACGGAACGGGGGGTTGATGCGAGATCGGGCATGCCCGGGACTGATGGTGGTAGGAACATTAGTGGAGGTAGAATCACAACGTTTGGAGAACTGGGCAACGAACAGCTGTACTGGACAGGGTTTGGGTGGGCCAGCGAGGACACTGTGAAGTTTTGTGGTAATGGAGGGTACGAAACGGCGGGTTGATGCGAGATCGGGCATGCCCTAGGGATACTCATATCATGTGGCGTTCTGGGAATCAGAGGAACGGGTATCGCGTTGGACAAACCAGGAATCCCAGATGTCCTGGTCGCAGAATTGGTTGCGACGGATGTAGTTGGCGTACCAGAAACTGTCACAGAAGTGTGAAGGGTTTGTGGCCCGTGGGGGGCCGGAATGGACCGGAAGTCAGAATTGCCAATGGGAGTTTGGCTGCAGTAGGTGGGATGCAAGTCTCCTGATACTGTCGCAGTAGTGGCTCCTGAAAGGTGAAATCAAATACTCAAGTTACCAAGCAGCCAACGCGAGCAATCTCTGAAACACAGGCACTCTAACTGGAGTGGGTGGAGATCCAAGTAGAGTTTGGAAGCTTGCCAGGAATGGGCCAACCTAAAGCGTACGGAAGTCATTTACAATCGAGCAAAAAGAAGCACTGTGCATCCGTTTCATTCTTTTTCAAGAAGCAGCAGTTCTGCTCAGCTTATGGGTTGAGATAGGAATACAATATCCTAACTATAGGCAGCTTGTGAGTAGTATATCTTGCCACCGTGTTCTTCAGTTCAGCCGTTCAGTTATCAGCAGAATGCTACTCCAGAATGTTAACACGTCGCTCGCTCTTCTTGGCCGAGCGAGTGGAATGACTATCCGCAATCCGCGATATGTATCTTTTAAGTGTACTAACCAAAGTTACATTAACTCCGGGTATTACGGTTTTCTTCATGGGGACAAGGAGAGCCATGTGGTAATAGTCAAGCTCTACAAGCAGTATTTAATGGGTCTACTGGTGTAACGGTGATACTACTGGTGGGGGCATGCGAGTAGTATGTTTTCTCGTAAATCCGCTTTGCGTCTCTTGAAAAGTGAGATGTATTACGGAATTTGTGGAGTCGCTATGTAGCGTTTGCTTGCAATTGAGTAACAGTCAATGAATATCCAGGAAGGTTCAGGAAGACGCGTTGAGGGAGAAGATGGATATTCAGTTTTGTAAACAAGGTGCATATGAGAGTTTTGCTTCCCTGTCCAATAGTCTGTAACTGTTCAGTTGGTATTTTTTAATAAATAAGTCCGCGGCGAAGGCATTCTTCCTTTCACTGGTATTAACGAAAGGGATAAATTCGCACTGCAGCAAATGACTTTAACGTGACTATTTGGCTGAACGACGTATGGATTGGGAAGCCTCGTTTAGGAAGACAGACAGCGATTTCAATCACGACCAAAATTGTGTGGTAAGCGAATTTCTCGGGTCAAGATAGTTCAGTGGATAAGACGCGAACTTGGGGGCTGAAAGGTCTGTGGTTCAAACCCAAACCTCTCATCTCGACTGCTCCTGTCTAGGATTGGGCAACCTGACAGTAACTCAGCGCTCGTGCTTTCATCGTATGGCATGGCAGCCAGGCACTGAAAAGGTATCACAGATGAACGATTATTAGTAATTAGCGAATATACACTCATTTGCAAACTAATTTGGTTCTTTCGAGAGACTCACCTGGAACCCAGCTGAATCTCTCGTTTATGATGTTCTCAGGCAACTGAATGTGCTGCACCAGGCCGCCTCATGTTTCAGTCGCTACGATATTTGAAATATCACGATACATGTATATATTTGTAATGTACTACTCATAAGGTTGCTGAAAATCCATC